TGGGTTTGGTGTGCTGAGTGCCGGTCCTGGACGTGCAGCAGCCTTCTCGGCGAGGCACCGTTTGCTCCTGTGCTGATCCCAAAGAGCAGCATTTTAACCCACGGTAGAGGTACGAGTAGGAGTTTGCAGGCACTCGCTGGAAGGGATGCTCAGCGCCAGGGAAAAATCACGTGCAGTCAAACGCACCGGTGTCCGACAGAGATGCTCCCCAGCACCCTGCCTTGGGGAGACGTCTCAGGGGACCCCAGCAGAAAGCGAAGGCTGAAGCTGATGCTGGAAGCAGCAGGTTTGGGACTCCCTCCCACCGTGAGACACGATGGAGCAGCTCAGGGTGCTGCTTCCCAGCATATTCCGTTTGAGGGAAATGCAGTTTATAAAGGAGTTATCATTGGTTGTCTTTGGGAACTTAGCTGTGCTGTGTAGGACAGTCCCATCATTTTGTCCGGGGAGTTCGGCTGCTCTCTTGGGGGAGAGAATGATGGCTTCGAAGAACATGGCCTGTTGATCCCTTGGGTTGTATATTTTTGGGAGGGTTATTGGAAATGAACGTGAAAAGGTCTTTCAGAAATAATGTTAGGTGGTCTGCTGACTCGCATCCCGATTTTTGAGTCTGTAATGTATTTTTCTACGCGTTTTGCTAAAACAGCAATTACTTGTCCATGTTTGATTTACTTCTCAGGCTTCTAAAAATTATCATGTTAGCCTGGCGGCGGTAGAAACCCCCTTCCTTCCGTCCGGGAGGAGTCTGTGCCGTTGAGCACCGCAGCTGCGGTAGCATCCGGATGCTCCTGCCCGTTCCTGGACTGCGTTGCTCTCGGGAGCGTCCAGCCATGTGTGAGGGACGGCTTCACGGCGTTGTGATGAGGGGGAGCCCGGGCAGGAGGGCTCTGACCCGCTGCCTGCAGTGGCGGTGGGTGAACCAGCTGCAGCGTAGAGCCTGCGTCACCTGCTTGTTTTGGAAATGATGACCCCTCAGACTCTTCACTTCTTTGGAATTTGGGTATTTTCTTCTTTTAGGTACAGATATTTTCCGCTCTGGTAACTGACATTCATTCTTATATGCTGCTCCACTACTTGATCCTGTTTTCTACCGGGGGGTTTGGCTGAGGTACCAATATAGGCAACTTTTCTGTGATGCACAAACTGGAATGGGAATCATGGTTAACTCGGCTACGGGGCAGCAGCTCTGGCTTTGGCTCTGCAGGAGCCATGGTGAGTCCCGGAGCAAGGTAAAAGCGTCTGTACGGTGCCTTGCAGGTGGGAGAAGGCTCCCTCTGAGGACCGGCTCAGCTCAAGGTGATGTTGTACAACCTCGGACAACTAGTGCATGGCTGCTACGGGCCTCTTACCTCTACTCGTAGTTGGGAGAGGCGAAACTAAAGGTTCAGAGGATGAGGCAGGGTAAATCAAAATCTCAATTGTTTGACTTAATATCATTTCCTAAATGATGCAGAGCAACCTGGAGGTTGGCTTTTGGGAGGGATCACACCCTCTGGAGGAGTTCCAGACTGTTCCCTGGCAGCAGTGGGAGCCCAGGGGTTTGTAGGGAGGGTGCTTACGTCCCGGCCTCTGCCCACCTCAGCTTTCTCCCAGAAAATATCACCAAGTGCCTGTACTGCTCTGTGCCGGATACCCAGCCCCAAGTCGCCTGCCTCGCTCCTGGGAGGTTTTCGGTGCTTTTCCCTGACTGCTCGGTCTGCTCTTCCAGCCTGGATGAAGAGCGCAGCTCCGGGGCGCTGCGGGGGCCTCACCCAGCAGTAAATCTGCAAACACCTCCCCCGCCAAGTGAAGCAGCCGGGATGCGGGTGGCACAGCACCGTGGGGCTTGGCCCCAGCGAGGCATGTTGGAAACAGCCGCTCCCGCCTGGACGCCCAGATGCCGTGAGTTTTCCTGTTGCCTCTCTCTACGGAAAGACACCTCCCGGGAAGCTCTCGGGACCGGCAGTCTTCCGGCACTTGCTGTTATTTTCGGTCGCCAGATTTCCGGTGCTGGGTTGGAATGGTTTGACAGTAACTCCAGCTGCGTCCCGTTAGCCTCCTAACGAGGCAATTTTGAGAAACATCCACTGCTGTGACTTGCCTTTTGAGTCCTGCCTTTACTCTGAGGACTGTCGTGCAGGCTGAGGTCTGAACCTTTGTAATTAGTCCATAATGTTACGATGAGATGTACAGAATTATTTATTTTGTGTACTCTGTGTCGTGTAAAGGTATTCCGTGTACCCCACCACTCTGCTGTCGTTCCTTCTGGCCCCTGGATGGCTGAAAGGCAGCGCTGTCCCAGCTGGGAGCGACGGTCCCACCGTGCCTGTGGAAGGGTTTGCATCCCTTCCGTGCGGCCACAGGGTAGGGAGCTGCCGGAGGGAGAGCTGGTGCGGGGCTGGGGTGTTTGCGGGGAGGCTCCGGGTGAGCCCAGCGCTCAGCCTCATGCCGGGAGGCAGGGGGGTTGCAGCTGAACGGGCACTTTGGGGCATTCTGTTCGCTTTTCTTTGGTAGCACAGAGGGCCAGAGAAATACCCTGGTTTGCCCACAGCACCTCCTCACCTCTCTGGTTTCGCTGCAAGCAGCTCTTAGGGGTGAAACCATAAAAAACCTGTAATACCAAGCGAGAACTGCCCCCGTTTGAGCCGCGTCCTCCTGGAAGGGAGGTGATTTTCCAGGGGCGAAGGGACCCTGGCCCAGCGGTGGCAGGGGTGATGGTGACCTGGACATGCAGAGCGAGCGACCCGTCATTAGCCAGTTCCTGTTGGAAGCTCCACCTGGCCACCGCTTTCTCCTGCTGGTGTGGCCTGTCCCCGTCCCCCTTCCCTGCAGCTGGCTTCACGGTCGTTCAGGAGCCAGCTGAAGCTAGGACCAGCTCGGGTCGGGTACCACGGGCTGAAAGCGCATTCTGGCTGTCAGAATGCTGCTGCGCCAGCCGGAGGGGAGGTTTTGAGGAGCTCGGCCCCCGTGCCCTTCTCCCCTGCATCCCAGGCGAGGCTTTCCCAGGCAAAGGAGCCCACGCTAGCAGCTTCCCAGGTTTCTCCGCAAGCCCTGGTTTGCTCCCGTTGCTCCCTGCAGAGCAGACCACTACATGAAGCTTGGTTTTACCCAGCCAAGCTAAAACTTCTCCACCCTTGGCTGTACTTCAGCAGTTTTGGGTTTTTTTCCTAAATCCAAGCACGTGGGCCAGCCTTCTTGTCTTCTCCTTCCACTCGTGGGCTGTAGCCCTTCCCCCCAGTGCCTCTGTAGCATCATGTGTTCTCTGCAACGGCTTGATTCGAGAGTGATGATCACAACGTTTTGGGGGCTGCGATTCAGGCAGCGAAGGCTTTATATTGCGTTCCTGTCACTGGTACAGGAAAAAGCCCCCCCCCACCTCACCCTGGGACAGTGTCATCCTGCTCCCCTGCCCGGGCTCCTCATGCCCAGCTCTGGCTGGAGCTGCCAGCGACCGGGTTTTAACCCAGTGACCACGTGTGAACATGAGACTTACTGTTTTTTGCACCTGCTGTTGCCTCGAGAACCCGTTTGGGTCAAAAAGCTGCTTTCTTCTGAAAACCTGGTGCCTGGCCTGGAATTTTGTTTTCAGCCTCGAATTTTCCTTTGGGCTGGCCTTGAGTTTCCCGCTCCGTTACCTGGCGGATCTGCGGGTGTGAAGCGGCCCCCTGCCCCCTCTCTGGAGCTGCTGTTGGCATTTCTGGCTTCCAGCTCCGTGTTCCCAGGCTGCCCTAAACTGCAGGCAGGGATCTCTGAAGATCCCGTGTGCCCACCAGCACCCACCCTTCAC